TTGTACCAGTCCTGATGATTAATTCAAGGAGGAAAACAGGAAATGGAAGATGTGAGACCCCAAAAAGTTCTAAGCAAATGAGTGTTCTCAAGACTTTGCTTTCTTGATGGAGCCAGCATGTGAGGCTTCTTAAAGATGGAGAGATACTGCTTGGAGTAGATATTCTCCTGAGGACCCCTTCCTCCTGAGCTGGCTCCCCTTCCTCCAGCGTCTCTAGTAGAATCAACCAATGTACCCAGAGGCTGGAGCTGGGAGCCCCAAGCCACTCATTCCCTCCCTGCCTCCACTTCCCTCACCCCAGCTGCTGCAATGGAAGTACCCCTGATGGTACCTCAGTATGAGTTCCCAGTCCCCATCACTCCATAGGTGGGGGCAGCAGCAAAGCTATCCTGCCTTCTCCCACCACACTTCACAGCAGGAAGGGCAGGGGGAGAACTCTGGGGTAAATCAGAGCTAGAAGATGAGATCAACTTCACAAGATATTGTAGTTCTTTGGATTCACATCCTGGGGGCATGTTCCCCACCCAGGGCACACCAGGCAGGACAGTGTAGTGAGGACACTGCCCTGAAAGTTGGGGACCTGATGTTGGTTTCTGTTTCTGCTGCCAAGGTGCTGTCTGACCTTGGGACTGCTGTGACCTTCAATCCCCTTGTGTGTATAATGGGAAAATGATGGAAGTTCCCTACCATTGCTTGTGTCCTTCCATCCCTTGAGTTGAAAGTAACTGTCTATATATTTTACATATTGAAGTGTTTTGCTTGGCATTGAAGGTACTTCTATTTGAGCCTAGAGTTTTCTTTTCTGTGCCATCCCTCACCTCCTCCCAGTCACATGGAAGAACTTGTTATTTTCAAAATACACAGTGCTCGACCATGAACGTCTACTTCTCTTAATAGACTTTTTTCTTTTTAATCTGAATTTCCTTTCCCGTAAGCCTAGTAAAAAACACCTATTTATCTTTAAAAGTTCTCCTAAGATCATCTTTGCTCTGAAATCTTCCCCGCTTTCCCCACTCCACCCCTTTTCTACCATTGCTTTCTGATAATCCCATCTTCACCTGTACCCGAGCTCTTATCAAGGTCTGGTTTGTATTATAACTGTAGGGGCTGCTTCTGCGGAGAGAATTCTCAGCACTTGGATCTAAAACAAAGTCCTTGAATTAAGTGCTTAGCTCTTCTCAGGAGATGACAAAGTCTGGCTGTGGTGGAGACTGCAGAGTCCAGGATCCCTACTCCCTCAGGTGTCCTGCTTTCCTCTCTTATCAGTTGCTTTTTTTCTTTCCTCACCTGAAAATATGTGTTTATTGATTTTTATTTTATTTTATTTTTTTAGAGAGAGAGGAAGGGAGATGAAGAGGGAGAGAGAGAAACATTGATATGAGAGAGAAACATCAATTGGTCATTACCCCATATTCCTCTCCCAACACACAACCCGACCAGGGAAAGAACCCACAACCTCAGTATGTACCCTAGCAGGCATTGAACCTGTAATCTTTTGGTGCATGGGATGATGTTCTAACCAATTGAACCACCAGGCCGGGGCTATCAGCTATTTTCTTTCACTCAGAAATCCAAGTCAATAATTAATGCCACTGTGATTAGTTATCAGAAGAGCTGTCATGCTGGGAGCCAAGATCAACAGTAATTAATATAAATGTGAGAAGTCAGGTCAGAAGGCTGAATGGGGCTTTTGATATTCACAGGACTGAATATCTGCATTTAATTACCTGCTGCTGACTCAATGGCCTAAAGCAAACTCCCCCAACCTGATAATCTTATTGTTTACTAAACATCACCTTTGATATGTCTGTTTGCATTCCTAAAAGGCAATTGTGTATTCTAGTAAATAAAAAGCAGATGGGAATGGAGATTCAGTGGAACTTGGTCCTTTGTACCAAGTTCACAACTGGCTTCCCCCAATAATTTCCAAATTTATATTTCTTGTCTTGTGTAATTAATTTGCACGTTTAGCCCTTTGTCCAAGTCTTAGACCCGAGGCCACGTGGGCGGTGGCTTCACACTGGCACAGGTGGATTACCCTTAAATAAGGAATAGAGTTACTCATGCTCGCCCTACAAGGGAAGGGCAGGGAGACTCTTCTAAAATGGGTGGAACCAAGGAGTCCACTGAATTACCTAGGCTGGAAGGTAATTAGGTCTCCTCAGAAGACCCAGGGTGGCACTCGGGGTGGGAAAGGACATAGGGAAGATGCACTCTGTCCTTGGGGCTGAGGAAAACTGATAGTGTTGGGAGGCTTAGAGTGAGAGGGAGGAGACTGGGCCCTTCTCTGTGTGTTCTAGAGACCAGGCTATTGACTGCACCTGGTGGGCTCACACACAGGTCAGAGCCGCCCTCTGGGAAAGTGCAACTTGTACTTGGTTGGCCTCAAACGAGGGCTCAGATGTTGGAACCCCTTTCTTTCCCAGTTCACACTGTTGGATGGGTGGAAGTGAAATGGGCTTGGAAAGAGAAATGAGAATAATAAAATGGGAATCATCAACAGGAATGATAACCTTCACAGCCTGGGAAGCATTTTACACTTTTCATCCTTGGCTCTAGGAGGATTTCAGAGATTAATTTCCAGGCATCTATGGAAGGGACAAAAATGTACTTCCCTTCCCTTTCCCACCTGCACCTGGGATCAGGCCAGTCACTGATGTGGTTTTATAATGGCCTGTGATCTTGGGAGCCTGCCTTGAACACTCCAGTTTATCCTTTCTCCTCTCTTTTGCGCATCTTCATCTGCACGTGAATAAACTTTGTCTAGTCTCTTCTGTTAATCTGACTTTCATCAGTTAATTCACAGGCCCACAAGCAGGAACCTAAATGGGTAGGAAAATTTTTCCTCCCAACTCCACTCAAGATGATAAAAGTACTATCTAAGGACTAAGACAAACAAAACATGGGTGGAGGGTGAGGTGGTGGGTGAACTACAGAAACATGAAACTAAAAGCTCATGCTATGCCATGGCTTCCTTAGCCCCACTGCTACTTCCAAACTCCTACACTTGAGCAAATAATGCTGAAATGACTAAAGATGTCTTGGCTATTACGGGGCAATATATTTTGAAATTTGATTTAAAAGATCTGTTCTTTCTACCAAGGTCCTTTTCTTCTCTCTTCTACCTCTTTCCTCCTCTCTCCAGGATTTCAAAACTGCCTGCTATTTTAAGCTCAGGTTTTTAGCAAAACCAAGGTCTGCCTATTATTTGACTCCACCCCCTGTAAAAAGCAATTCAGAGATCACCCAATGTTATTTAAACAGTTTCCTTTGCACAGAACCTCAACACCACTCCCTATGAACAATCACTGACCTACCATTGATAGATGCTTTCTAAGCACTACTTGAAGCGCTTTGTACATCTGACCTTATTTCAGTGTAATAACAAATCTAAAAGTTACATATCATTATCCCCATTTTAGAGACCAGGAAACTGAGGAGCAGGGAAATAAGTCAAGTTGTGTAACTTGCCCAGCTTTTAAGGTGCTAAACTACAATTTGGATGGAGACAGTCTCAATCCAGAGCATGGACAGCCTTCACCCTGAGGCCAGTTCCTCCCTGAGTGTCCCTGGTGTTGGAGCTGTGGCCCCAGCACTGCAGTTCAGAGCCAGTGAGTTTGTCAGCTACTTTAGGATAAATACATTCAAGAGGAAGAAACTTCATGTTTTTTATGTTAAAGCAGTTACTGAAGAGGCACATGAAACAGAAACAGCACCTTCATGTTGGGATGTGGAATTTCTAAGCAGTTAGCTGCAGTGAATGAACAGCCCTTTCGGAATGGTTTTGAAAAGATGAGCCAGTGGATTAAAGAGGGGAAGTTGTGGGAGTTGCCAATTAACAACGAAGCAGGTTTTGATGATGGTTCAGAATTTAATAAACATAATTTCTGAATAAATACCTGCAGTATTTTCCAAAACAAAGACCAGTTCACTACTTAATGGAGCTGGTGACTGTGGCCTGTTAGGGTCACCAAAGGAGAAGCACATGGAGCCAAAGTGGCAAGGGATTCTAAAATTATTAGGTCATCTGGATACCAGATGGGCTGAGACCCAAAATGGTGCCAGCACACAGGGACAGGGAGTCAGAGATTTTAAAGGACTCTAGTTGGGCATTTCTGGGAGGAGAATTCTCTGGGTGGTCCGGATCCTAGGAAGGTCTGGAGGGGAGAGATAATGGTCTCAGCAAGTGGAATGTGGTCTAAGCAAGAGGGAATGTCTGTTGTGAAGTGGCCTCAAGGTCAAGTTCATGGCCTTTCCAAAAGCCCATATCTGAGTGTTAAATAGAAAGTGGAACACATTGAGTGGTAAAGAAGTTATTTTAATGAAAAACAAGAAATTCTAAAAGAAAGTACATACAAGCCATACCATTCATTGGAAAACAATGGAAATTTTTATTTCAAGCTGTTGGAGATTGATATTATAGCTCAACAAAATAATTTTCCTAGAAAAAAATAATAAATCTAGAGCATGGAGGGAATTTTGCTATTTCTCACTCAAACAGTACCAAAATTGTCACAACAAAGAGATCTCTACCTAGGAGGGAATTCTGCTAAGAAACTTCTTGATGCTCTCTATTTTTTCTCTGAAAGGGAATTTGAGTTTTGATTTATCTTCAGTTTCTCTACTTAACTCTGACCTACAGAATGAGTGGTCACTGAAAATAAAAATTATCACACACTCACCTCAGGAATGTTGAAGTGGCCAGAACTGGGTGAGGCCATGTAGAGGCTTCCTTCTTACCCAAACTGTTCAGGCACTCTCCCCTCCTTCTCCAGATCTGGGAAGCCTGCCAGCTAGAGACAGCTGGATACCTCTCCCACTTCCCCCAGGAGAGCTGCTGTTAGGAGATTGGTAATTCTGGTCAAAACCACTGCAGGACTCCTGGGGAGAGAGAGGACCTCCCTTCCCCCCCCTCTCCCTTGATTACATATTATGTGCCCTTTGCTAACTTCCAAGGGCTATTTGGTGAAATGGCCCCCAAAGAGATAACAAAGACTTGATTGGGGTTTGAGCATCAGGGCCTTAGTGACTTTCCCTGATATCCCTGTGAACCAGCAGGGAGATGAGATTCCCATAGCAAGAAAGACTCCTATAGGCAGACTCATTCCTCAGAGTGCCTTTGTTTTCCTCTGGACTGAAACCCAAATGCTCCTCCCACCCTTCTGATCTTGGAAGTCAAGCCCCTTTGTAATCTACATAAACTCCACTCCCCAGGAATCCAGTGACTGCAGAAACTGGCCTTCCACTTGCTCTTGCCTGGAATCCAAGCTAGAGTCCCAGGTAAGAGGCCCAAGAGGTGGTCTTGGAGCAGCTTCTGTTTGAGGTCTGGAGAGGAGGGAGGCAGGTGGGCAAGGCTAAACCCTAAGCTTGGGCTAGGCAAATGTAGCTGGGGACAGGGCTGGGATGGGAGCGAGCATTCTTGCTGCAGAGAATACATGGGGCTGGAGAAGGAGCAGCCCCAGGTGGGCGGTGGCAAGCATCTCTCTTTGGAATACAATGGCATCTCTTTATGATGCCAGTGTCAGGCACTGGGTTGAGTTTCCCTAGTGTTGCAGGACAATGGAGCTCTCTCCGCCATGACCCTGTATGTCATGACAGTAACTGCGATACAATTTGGCTCATGGTTTACACAAAAAGATCTTCTATTGACCCACTAGAACACTGAGTACAAATGTATTTTAGCCCTAGCGGAGAAGGAGCAGCCCCACGTGGGCAAGCATCTCTCTTTGGAATACAATGGCATCCCTTTATGATGCCAGTGCCAGGCACTGGGTTGAGTTTCCCTAGTGTTGTAGAACAACGAGCTCTTTCCGCCATGACCCTGTATGTCATGGCAGTAACTGCGATACAATTTGGCTCATGATTTAGACAAAAATATCTTCTATTGACCCACTAGAACACTGAGTACAACTGTATTTCAGATAAAAACCCTCCAGTATTCAAAAACAGGACCCCTGGAATTTTAGGTCACTTTGGAGGTCACCACCCTGAGGGGAAGACCCACCTCTCTGTCACTAGTAGAGGTCAAATGCTTTTGGAGGCGAGTACATGTGACTGTCGCACCACTTGGAAAATCTTGCAGGAAGAAGAGTGTTTTTCTGGCTGACCTGAAGGGAGACTGTAAGCCAGGGAGACCACAGGTGGCACCTGGGGTTGTCTACTAAAGTGATGTTTTTCCTCCTCTCTCCCTTCACTGACTAGGCTCCTCCAGGGGACTGAGGCCACCATGGCTCAGGAGAAGTCCCTCATCCTGTTCCCACTGCTAGTCCTGGTGCTGTTAGTGCTGGGGTGGGTCCAGCCTTCCCTGGGCAAGGAATCACGGGCCATGAAGTTCCAGCGGCAACACATGGACCCAGACGGCCCCAGCAACAACTCCAACTACTGCAACCAAATGATGAGGCGCCGGCATATGACAGAGGGATGGTGCAAGCCAGTGAACACCTTCGTGCACGAGCCTCTGGTAGATGTCCAGGCCGTTTGCCTCCAGGGAAACATCACCTGCAAGAATGGGCAGCCCAACTGCCACAAGAGCAGCTCCAGCATGAAGATCACGGACTGTCGTGTGACGAGCGGCTCCAAGTACCCCAACTGTGCCTACCGAACCAGCCAGAAAGAGAAGCACATCATCGTGGCCTGTGAGGGAAACCCGTACGTGCCCGTCCACTTTGATGCTTCAGTAGAGGTCTCCACCTGAGACCAGAGCAGTGAGATGCCCCACCTCATTGTGTCGCCTGTCTCTCCCTCCTCCTTCCTAGCACTGAGGGAAATGACTCAAGGTAGGGCTCCTATCCAACACTAAAGTGTTTCCCTGGCCTGAGACTTATGCCTGCTTGGTTTGGGGGGTGAGGGTGGGTTGTGAGGTGGGTCCCATGTGAACTACTTTACGGCTTCTTTCAATAAAACTCAGTTGCAACAACCTGGCTTCCTGAAGCTGTCTCCATTCAGGTTACTCATAATGTGATTGCTTTCCTGCCAGAAGGTGAGAGCTACAAATCTGGTTAACTTTGGTGAGCAGCAAGTAGAATCATTAAATGCCCCCTCTTCTGACTCTCGGCTTTTAGAAAATTCTTTTTGGAGATAATCCCTTTTCAAAAATGAGAAGAAAAAAAAAGACCAAAAAAAAAATAATGAGAAGCAATAAGCATTTATTTAATATCCAAAAGAATTGCAATTTGGGAGAACAAATTCAGGCAGAAACCCATATAGTGTTCCCTCTATATAGGGACTCAGGGTTTTATGGTGAAAAGGGAGGAAGATTAGATATGTTGTATTTAAGAAGATTTATCGGTACTAGATGAGGTAGGGTTAGATTTGTACTTCATGGGTTGGCTTGAGATTCACCTGAAATTGTATTTAATTTGTTGGTTAGAAATCTGGTCATTCTCAAAGTCCAATTTCATCAATCTTTACAAATAGGATAGTCTTGGCCTTCTTGGAATTATGGTGGTTTGGTCCAGCTTGTAAGATAAAGAAAAATAAGACATGCAGAGCAGGTCCTCTGAAATGGCTACTTAGGCTCTATTTTAATACAGCTCCACTCATGTTATCTTTCACCTGGGCCATGAGACCGCTCAGACCTCCATCTGTGGAAAAAAGTGGTAAGTGACAACAGAGGGTCCAGGTTCAGACTTGCACAGCGAGGGAGCCAATGGGAAGGAAAGTGGTCTGAAGAGGTGAAGACTGGGAGAAGAAAGATGGGGTCCTGTCCTGGAGGGGTCCAGTTCAGTCAAGAAGAGAAACAGCCATCAGGAGACAAATCAGAGGTCTCCGTTCTGTGGGGAGCCTATTGCTATCCCACCAAAAAAGGAGTACTAGTTCCTCCTGATGTTAATGTCAGAATTGCACCTCAGTCCTTGAGTTCAGCTAAAAAAGAATTCATTGCCAAGAACTGAAATGCAAGCAAAAGTTTATTTAGAAAGTCACAGGGGTAGAAGAAATGAGGCAAATGTGCTGCATGACTTAAGAAACAAATTACAGTGGCAAAAGAAGGGCCCTTGGAGCTTAGGAGAAAGAAAGGTAAAGATAATGCACCTGAGGGAAGATGGGGAAAGGCACCATTATGCTCCAGAGAGAGAGTGCCTGGGAACAAAAGGGGGTGTGGAGAGTTGTGGGTGTACTCAAGAGAGGGAGAACACCTGCTGGGTTCTTCATCTTCAGGGTTTTTATTTGTTTTCTAAAGGTGTGGATTTTAGGGGAGGTCTCATGGGAGGATCTCAATAGCATATTCATCAGCTTTCCAAGTGTGTCCTTTCAGGGTCATGGTCTCTACTGATTGACTGGTGCTAGGGTAGGAGATCCTGATGTCAGCCATGTTGTTGCTTCATCTGGTTTTGCTGCTTTTCTGGGCCTGGAGTTGAAACTCAACTGAAGTCTAGATGTTATCTCTAATTTGACCAAAACTCTCTCTGTGGTCAACAGATCCCAGCCTTTGTTCCTAAGATTATTAGATGCAGGTCAGAACCTCATTGTTCTGGGGGCTTAATGCTTAATGTTTAAGGGAGTGGTCATGCAAGGGCTTGTATGGGAGTTCTATGATTCTATTCTCTGGCCCCTTTGTTCCTCTTCTCCAAGCGTATAATACTTGTTTTCTCTAGTTTTGTCCCTTGTTAGGCACCCAGGAATTTCCACTCTGGCCTTTGGTTCCTGCTCTGCTCATGCCTGTCTAGATGCCTACTCTATTACTAGAAGACTAACCCAGGCAAATTAACATTAAAATGGAGGTACTAACATGGGAATCTGCTTACAGGCTGAAATGATCATATCCAATGAAGAATAATGTTAATTTTCAGAATATTCTTTAAACCAAACAAGCTTCAATAATTCTACATTCTCAGTACACAGATAAACACATGTTAGTGTCCCAGCTCTTCCTTACCCTTGCAGCTTTAAGTGTATCTGATATTGTAGGCAGTTAGACAGATATGACCAGAGTAGAAACTGCAGGCCAGATACAGAAGGTTACCAGGATAGAAAGTCCCAGGTGCCTAGCAATAGGGGAAACTTCATAAACAAGTATTGTATGGTGGGACTTCACCCCCAAGGTGACCTTTCCTCACCTGGCATATCATTGGTCATGCAGTTTACACATCCTGACCTTTCATATCACTGGTCATGCAGTTCAGATTCTCCACTGAACTTTCATCCCTTGGAATGTTGCTAGTCATGAGGGAGACAGAACAAAGAGGCCATAGAATAGCATCATACAACTCCCATATGAACCTTGTATGACCGTTCCCTAAGCATTAAGCCCCCAGAACAATGAGGTTCTGACCCAAATCTAATAATCTTAGGAACAAAGACTTGGATCTGTTGACCAAGGAGAGTTTTGGTCAAACTAGAGATAACATCTAGGCCTCAATTGTGTTTCAGCTCCAGGTCCAGAAAAACAGCAAACCCAGATGAAGCAATGACATCCTGGCTTTGGGATCTGATGCAATGACTAATGATCTCCCATCCTAGTACCAACCAATCAGTAGAGGTCACCACCCTGAAAGGACACACTTGTAAAGCTGATGAAGATTCTATTGGGATCCTCCCCTGAGACCTCTTCTAAAACCCACGCCTTTGAAAAATAGAAGCCCTCAAAATGAAGAAGGACCAGCCCCTGCCCCCCCACTCTCTCTTCTCCCTCTCTCTGTCTCTCTCTCTCACACCCCTTTCCCTATCCCCTTCTTCCCTCAGGTGCACTCTCTCTCTAGAGCATGCTCAAGCCTTTCCTTCCCCTTTCTTCGATCAGGCGCATTGTCTTTGCTTTCTTTCTCCTAAGCTCCAAAGGCACTTCTTTGCCTCTGTAACTTGCTTCCTGAGTCCATGCAGTCTAGCTGGCTCACTTCTTCCATGGCTCACTTCTTTTACCCTGTGACTTTCTAAATAAACTTTGCTTGTACTGCAGTTGCTTGGCTCTGAATTTTTTTAAAGAATATGTTTTATTGACTTGACAGAGAGGAAGGGAGAGGGATAGAGAGTTAGAAACATCAATGAGAGAGAAACATCAATCAGCTGCCTCCTGCACACCCACCACTGGGGATGCGCCCTGCAACCAGGGCACATGCCCCTGACCGGAATCGAACCTGGGACCCTTGAGTCCACACGCTCTATCCACTAAGCCAAACCGGTCAGGGCTGAATTTTTTTTTCTTTGCACAACTCAAGGACCAAGGTGCAACATCTGGTGTCGTTCACTGTTCACATATCCACAAAATCATACTGTCTTCTGCTCTTCTGACCTGCCGATTCTCTCCTGCCTCTCTCTGTGGTAAATTTTTTCTTCATTTCCAGCGATCAATAGTCCCTCAGTCCAGTATTACATCCACAATTAGAATGAGTCCTCCAATTAACAGTAAGTGATCATCCTATCAGATTCCTTCTTTCCCAGAGCTGCCTCATCAGTATTTGCATGTTGACCTTTCTCTCTGTGAAATGGAAGGCCTGCTCCCAATCCCCACGCTTGCCTCCTTAGTCTGAGTCATACCACACAGAGCAAGTGGGATCACTAGGGGCTCTGAATTTATTCAGTCATGCCGGAAAGCACTTTAATATTGTTTTTGGGAATTGATCATAAATGTGGGACAGCTCTCGACATGCACAACTCATGATTTATGATGCTGGTCCTTCCTAGAAGGTATGTTAACAGTACAAGGTTTGTGTGTCCAATGCTTAAAAAAAAAAAGGCCAATATTTAAAACTTTAGTTTGAAGTAAGTGAGATTCATTGATCAAGAAGATACAGTTCAAGAAGATAGGGTGATGGAGGGGTGTTGAGGAGTGCCTTATAGCTTCTGTGAATCCATGTTAAGAGAACCCAGAATTCAGGTGTCTATGTCAAGGAAAGGGAGGAATGGCAGTTGGGTGAGGGTCTTAGACAGGCATGACCGGGATCCAAGAAAGAGCAAGAACTTTCTAAATCCTTTTGTTCCCATCAGTCCCCTGACCACCAGCTGAACTGAGTCTGGTCTGGAGACTCCTGTAAATCTTTGATGAACTGTCCTCACCTCTTTGGAAAAGTCTCCTTCTGACAAGTGGCTGCTCTTATAAAAACTCAAACCTTAAGCAGAATTTCTGCAGTTAATTAGCATATCTATAGTGGGAGCTATTAGCCTGAAGGCCATGGGAGAAATGTAAACTAGAATTAAGGGATTCAGAGAGAGCAAGCCTTTCACACTGTTTTGGGTACGAAATGAAAGTGTACCTTTTGAAGACTAGACAGTGGCACGCCTGGAAGCATCTCAACACTGTTTCCCAGGAGCCACTTTCTGGGGGACAAATCCCATAAGAACCTCTGCAAATCATTCAGTGAAATCACATGTACTTTGGGTTTCTTTGTGGTTTGCAGTAAGTGTACGTGGAAAGGTGTTTTCTCACCTTCCCCCCTCCATGCTTATCTTTTTTCTCATTCCCTTAAGGTCTTCTTAATTAACAATTAACAACAAATAAGGTATCATTCATCTGAATGGTCATAGTCCCACTGTTACATACCTTAAACACCAGGTTCTTGAGTCTCCATGTCATAGAAATAAGCACTGAACTCTGTACAAGATCAGGCATATTGATTTTTTGCGGACAAGCTTGTACACAAGGGAGGGACCAGTAAAGAGAAGTTGAGCTATCTAAGGGGTTCTTGTGGATGGCTTATATAGGGGCCTTGGTGTGGATGTAGGACTTGGGAATGAGGAAGAGATCAGTTATTCCATGATCGATAGTCACTTGTCAGTAGTTGATCCCGGGGAACCACAAGAAGTTTTCCATGGTCAGTGGGCCACTTGGAGGGCCTGTAAAATAATGTTTGCACAAATATTCTAGTTACTGATGCAGGTTGCGGGTCCAAGGACCTGAGGGTCTGAGACCCACTGTGGGTTCTCGACTTCACACAGGAAAGAATTCAAACACAAGCCAGCACAGAGTTTAAAGTGAAAGTGAGTTTACTAGTGAAGCCATGAGACAGAATGAGTACTCCACAGACAGAACAGCCCTCTTTACAAAATTGCTTCCTGTATTAAGGCTCATTTAATCAGGGGTTGGATATTCAATAAGAAAGAAAATATTCAGGATCTTCTGGGGAAGAGGTGGGGATCTTTCAGACATTTTGTGTTCTTTTATGGGTTTTCCATGACTGATCAGGACAGCTCAGGGTGTTTTGTTTAGCATGCTAATGTATTAAAATGATTGCATTTTGAAGGTAGGGATTACCATTAAGTGAAACTAATCACCATGTTGTGATACCCCTGACATAATCTGGTTATTAGGTAACAGAAAGGGAGTAAAGGGAAGACTAGATAATATAGGCATGCCCTTTATACAGCCTTGCTAGATAGCTGTAATTTAGCATTCTCCAAATTTGTTCCCCACAGATCAATGGGTAAGGGACTGGACAAAAGCAGTTTGGACACATGCCCAGTAAGGTCTGAGTGATGTGGGAAGGTGCTTATCTGTCAGTCACACTTGGGAACAAGTTAGTGGCCAGAATAGGCATGGCCAATGCAAATTTGAGAAACCTGAATATTTAAACTCCTGGACAAAGGAGCCCTCTCACTTGTCCATTGGCCCTTGGCCCTCTAGCTTTCTTGGGACTCCTGTTGCACAGGGTGCATTCTCCTTCATTCCTCCATGTGGCCCATGGCCATGTTGTCTCTACACAATGGATTAATAGGCTGAATCTCCTTGATCCTGAATTGTGCCTGGCTGCAACATGGAACAGAGGCTCTGAACACTGGCCTTGCTTTTAGCTCTGCTGGACCCCCAGCTACACTTCTTTCAGGACTGTGTTAAGGGGCATGGGACTTTGCAACCTGAGAAACATAATTCCAATAAAAATAACTCATCCTCGGACCTCTATCTATATATATAAAAGGCTAAGTGACCAACCGACTGTATGTCAGTCCAACCATCCAACCGACCAGCCGGTACATATGACATGCACTGGAAATTTAAAAATAAACATTGACTCACACACTTCTATTATAGAGAAAGGGCAAATAGTGATATTAAAATATTTTGTATTCTAATTTTATAATACTATATTATATATACTATTTTGACATGTAATTTTTTGCAGTAATGTAATTACCACA